TATATAACAATATAACATAGGGGATAATTTGAACAAAGTTTTAATTTATATGCTTTAATTTCTAATTATAATGGAAATCTATCTCATTTCAAACTCTATAAACTACATAAATCCGGTGTGATTTTTTCGCTATCCATTTATATTAATTTTGCAAAACAATGTTATGATTTCCGGCTTGTATTTCACCATCACTGAAGCTGCAAGGTTAAAAATTCTTGACATAATCTTGTTCTCTGTATTCTTAGCTTTAAAATGACACCAAACTTGTTGAAATCGAACAACAAATAAAAAAGTTATGGGCTAAAGAAAATTCCATTATATCCTCTAAATAACTAACCCTCTACAACTTTCACTTTCCACTTTCATTTTGTTTGACCTCACATGACCCGGCATGACCTATAACCCGGCATCTTCGCTTTTAGCCCTAACCCTAACCCTAACCCTAACCCTAACCCTAACCCCCTAACCCCCTAACCCTAACCCCCTAACCCCCTAACCCTAACCCTAACCCCCTAACCCCCTAACCCTAACCCTAACCCTAACCCTAACCCTAACCCTAACCCCTAACCCTAACCCTAACCCACAAGTTGAAGTCCTCTTATGTCCAGCATCTTTATCAAATACAAGTGGATCATCATCATCACCTATTTTCTTTGATATCTCTTCCATTCGCTCTCCTCTGGAACTAAATTCCGTATCCCTAGTTTCCTCTTCTCCTTTATTCTTCCTTTGCTCTTCCATTTCCATGTTGATTTTATGTGGGACGGTAAAGTGCAAACGCTTCAAGTGGAGATTGCGGAACATGAAATTGGCCAACTGTAGTTTAGATAATATTTCCAACGCGATCAATCGGTTCTTGTCCAAAGGAAGATCGATCGTGAGAGCAGCCAGCCTTTCATATTCTACATAAAAACCCTGCATCAAGAAGGCGATGCAGCTGATATATGTCGATACCGTCACAGTTGCCTCCAACTCCAGTTTTTCTCTTTGGAGCCTGCGTAAACATATAGACACCCATGGAAGTACCTTTGGAGTTTTTTTCAGCTTGCTTGGATAAACTAGTCCGCGTTTTTCCAGATCACCTCTAACTAGGTCAAACATCATTTCTTGCGTACTTTCTTGTATTTCGGGAGACTGTTGATCAATGACAATATTCCAAAAGTTTCCATGAAAAGACCAAGTCAGAATCATGTTTCCATGACGGTCATATGTACTCACTGCTGAAAAGTGTTTTAGGTTGAGTTCATGAAATCCAGCCTGTACAATATCTTCAACTGGAAGAGTGTTTTTCTCCAAAAGTCTGCACAGGCTAGGAAATACCATCTGTGTTTCGGTTCTCCTCTTTGTTGTCAGCAGCTTTATTAGCGATTTCAGAGTCACAGCACCAACTGTCTTAAACCTGGTTTTGTCAGATTTCATCTCTCCTAAGAAGTCATCAAAGAGAACGTAAGTAGCAGCCTTTCCAGTTTCGTGTAAGTCGTGAAGCAATGCAACTACCAAATGTCTACCAATGACGCCATAGCTGGCATCCAAATGATCGTGCAAACCCACTGATCTTGCAATCATTTTACGGATCATTTCCGAGTTCGTCCATATTTCAGGTGGAGGGATGCTTCGATCGTTCTGCATGCAAGTTGAGTAGACGTCTAGCGACAAGAAACCAAACTGGTCCGTCAAACTTGGACTCGGTCCCAAAGCTTCGGGTCCAAGATTAACTGAATATGTTGTACTCCTTGAACAGAGTGGTTTTCCCCAGAGCAATTTTTCATTGGCTAATTCTAATTGATAAGATTGCCAGGTGGTTAGCACATTTCCCGTTTTCTGAAAACCCTCCAACAATTCTCGAAGTTCTTTACACATCCACAAGCCCAAATGTCTGATACAACTGAGTGTTTGAGGTGGCAAGGGAGCCAACAAAGGCACATTTTCCAGAACTTGCTCTAAGTTTATTAGATCTATGAAGTCAAGAGCATGCAGATTGTCAGATAATGCGGTATCCTGCGCAACAACAAATTCTAGTCTACAAGCACTCTTTCTCATTAGCACCCAATTGCTCTCTAGAGTTGATATGTAATATTCCGCGTCTCGGAGGAAAGCTTCTGCTGTCGGCCTTGGAAAACACATACCTCCACCAATGCAAGCCGACACTGGATGAAATCGACAATTGGGCTGACGGTGTGGAATATCGGCATAAAGTTGAACAAACTGTAACTGGTCTGGAAAGCGACAAACCTTTCGTAAACCATTCTTAATATCCATTGGCCGTCCATCTAGATTGCTTTGAAAATTTCCACAGTCTGTAAGTGATAAACATGTGCTTAATACACCTCTTAAGCCGATTACTTCCTGCAAACCGGAGGTGGACCACAAGAGATCCACCTCACCATCCGTGGAAATGTCTACAGCTGCATGAACAGTTGACCTACATATCTCTTCCCTATTAAAATCAGATATTGGTAGTCCATCCGTCATTTTTTCTCCAAAACGAAAACAAAATATTATTGGCCTAAATCCCGTTAAAGAGATGTTGTTCAGAGCAGCCTGTAAAGCAGAAAGTATTGTAGAACAGTCATCAGGTAACACGAACATTTTACGGACATCCCTGATATCGTTTTTCATAAGTGTTTTTGAAGCAGTTCCATTCACGGCATAATCTGCGAGTATATCTTTGAATCTTGTTCTGAGTGCAAGGAAAGTATTGAATGTTTGTTGTCTGATTATCTGTTTCGGAAAAGCTACAGAACCTTTCTTGTGTACAGGTATCATGGCTATCCAGCACTCCCATCCTCTTTCGTAAAACAATTGAAACCCTAAAGAGCTGCTGAAATTCATAAGCTCGCTTTTAGAATATTCTGTTAAATTGACATGTTTCTTTAAAGTGCTTCTAATCTCACGCAAACTGCCATTGTCATTCGGAAAGAGTGTTATATGTCTAACTGGCATTCGTATTCCATTTAAATTCTTCAGTTCATTAACACATCCATCAATATCAAAAGTGTACTGAAGCCAAACATCTCTTTCTGCTTCGTCAACTGTCACGCTTCTTACGAATACCCGTTTATCTCTTTTTAAGAATAACATGGGTGACTCCCTCACAGGATAATACCTATTCGCTAAGTTCATGTTCTCCATCACAGTTTCCGCAAAAGTCTGCTCATCTTCCTCGGTATTCATCTTTAAATAAAAAAAAGTTCCAGTCATATTGATTCAATTTTATATACATTTAAATAAAGCTAACTTTACTTATCTAACATAATAGAAGGTCTCTTTTTTTAATCAGTTATATTAAAATGGTACCCTTTGCAGAAGATATAAAATCCAGAAAAAAAGTTAATATGCTGAAAATTGTACTAACAATATAAAAAAATCCTACTTCAGAATGTTGGAAAGCAAAAAAATGTATGCTCTCATACTCATCAAATAAAATAAATATGAATAAAGAGTAAAAAAACTGTAGAAAACCAAAGTAAACCCATCGTATACCTGGGTTTTACAATTATATTCACCCTGTAGCACGGCCAAGTTTTCCCTGGGTTATACCCGGGTTTAACCTGGGATAAACCCGTGTATATCTTGAGTTTAACTCGGGTTTATCCTGGGTTAAACCCAGGTATATCCTTGATTATACCTGGGTAATACCCAGGTATATCCTGGGTTATACCCGGGTATATCCCGGGTTATACCCGGGTATATCCTGGTTTATACCCGGGTATATCCTGGGTTATACCCGGGTATATCCTGGGTTATACCCGGGTATATCCTGGGTTATACCTGGGTTATACTCAGGTATATCCTGGGTTATACCCGGGTATATCCTGGGTTAAACCCGGGTATATCTTGGGTTAAACCCGGGTATACCCAGGGTTAAACCCGGGTATACCCAGGGTATACCCGGGTATATCCTGGGTTATACCCGGGTATATCCTGGGTTAAACCCGGGTATACCCAGGGTATACCCGAGTACACTGGTGTGCATACTAAGCATCATTTTAAGTTTACTTACATGACCTTAATTTCAATCAATATGTTCTTATTGTGTAATTAAAACGAATATATCCTAATTTAAAATTGAAAATACACTTTTAATTACCAGGTACTATTGAAGAATACAATAAATATACATAAACTTTGTCCTCTTAAACACAAATAATTCATTATACTTCCGTAAATTTTTAATGCAAAAATAAGGCAAGATTATGCATAACTTCCTTAAAAAAGATGCCGTTGCTTACTCAGACAATACATGATAATTAGCAATTAAAAAAATCAAATGAAATATTACCTTACATCAAGAAAATCACCGATTAAAACACAACAGTATATAAACGTCCAAATCGAAAGAACACCTACTTTCACAATGAAATGATTGACAATCACGTGATAAAATAGGCGGAGTCCCGCAATCCCGCACACGCAACACGTCAAAGTGCCCTTACCCTAACCCTAACCCTAACCCTAACCTAAACCCTAACCCTAATCCCTAACCCTAACCCTTACCCTAACCCCAACCCAAACCCTAACCTTAAACCTAACCCTAACCCTAAACAATCTTTCTTTTTAAATGATTGTATTTTTATCAAAAAGTGAAGTCAAATTCTCGTCTCCGTATTTACCGGCCCCTAACCATCTGAAACCAGATATTCAGAATTGAAAATACATGTGACCACTTCCCCCGGGTTATTATTTTATCTGATAAACAAAATATACTCCCGGGCTAAATTCCCTTACATCACATTTATAGCAACCTACAAATTCTTTTTTTTTGTTTAGTTTCTTATTCAGGCATACCTTTTAGACCTACTGTTACATATAAAATCACCTACATTTTATATGTTTTTGTGGTTTCTGTATACTATTGTAAAATGGTGAAAAGATTCAAATATATGATTGATTGATTGAAGAAATATGCGTAAAACTAAAAAATGAAATTAAATACTGAAGAAAGATAGATCTATGTGAATCAAAATAATAATTAAAATAAGATTTTACAAAATACATGATGTACATGAACATATTTTCATTCTTTTTTTTTTAATTTTGTACCACAGTGTTCTATTCTAAATATATTTTCTACCAATTTTATTCGTCAACAAATTCAATATTACGGAATTTTTTTCCTTGCGTCCGTAAACTTTAAGATTGTTCCAAAGTAGCAAGTTCATGTACAGTGTATATAGTTTGTTTATTAATAACACTGGTAGCCGCAGACGAAGAACAATAGGTAATTATTGCCCATTGTTACGCTGACCACTACAATTTGCATGGAAAGTTGTACCCCGTTCTACCCCGGGGCTGAAGACATGTACACAATACAGCCAAATCACAGGTTGGTCACCGATTTTTGGATCAATTGAAATCAAACAAAGGTGTTTTCCTTTCAACTGTTTACCATACAAAATTAAAATCGATCAATTTGATCATATACTAATATTAACATATTAAATAAGGTCTTATTTGAGTTCATATTTCCCATTCCATAAAATTAAAAAAAGATTTCAAAACTGATTAAATAAAAAAAGTTTCTAAACACGTGTACCTTTGCACCACGGATTCTTGATCTCTAATTTTTAATCAGTCCCATTTGCCGGTTGCACTTGCATATATCCTGTACTTGTACATATGTACATGTGGAAGATTTTTATTTTTGGACGATCTACAAACGCCTACTTTACATTAAAATAAATAAATAAATTATGTCACAATCAAAGTTGATTTTGTTATCTGTTTATTTGTTTTTCTTATATTAGTATTGCCCTGTGTTGACCCTTATTGGTATTTAGCCTTTTATTCTACACGAAGCCCCATTGTGACGCACAGGTGATTTGAAAATTTGGCCAGTCGCTATATAAGGTGATTGCAGGTTTGTCTTGGGTAGCGCACGTTTTCCTTGACCAGTGAAAGTCGTTTCACATGTCCATAGAGGATTAGGTAGTTTTATTCGTGGTAACTGAATCTCCAATCAGGGTAAGTGCAATTTACTTATATTTATTATATTGAAAAGTAATGCAATGTTACATTAATGCAGCTTATTCTATTTTTATCCACGAGAAAGTGTTCGAATTGTATACGGGAAATATTACCACGTGCACATGCCGTGAGTTTAAGCGTAAAGTAATTATATTAGTTTATTACTGAGAGTGTAACGTTATATTGTACATTATTTTGCTTTGCCGCACGAAACGGTGTGATACAGATTAGTTAAAACTGTATGTTTGAACAATTATATGTGTAAACATTTATGCTATGTTGTAAGGCAGCCCGTTCGGGGTCAAGCTTATGTATGTCTACGCATATTTGTTGAAGGTCCCTCAAGATACATGTACGTAAATGTGGTTACACAATGGTTTGATGCTGTCGGCGGTGGCAACCTAAACGACTACACGAGGGCGTGGTACGCTAGGCCGAGACCGTGCGTGGGGAAACGTGGTTACCTGGGTTTGGCAGTACTGCCACTACTGGACAAAAAAAGTGCTGAGAATCCCAAATTTTACTGATAATGTTTGATAATTACTGATACGGTGCTGTTCTTGCTGAAAATTACTGATATTTACTGTTATTATTACTGTTGTTGCTGATAATTTTAGTTGTTGCTGATAAATACTGATAATTACTGTCGTCTTTTACTGTGGAGTCTGATAAATACTGATAAATACTGTTGAGGTACTGTCGTTGCTGAGAATTACTGATAATTACTGTTGAGGTACTGTCGATGCTGAGATTTACTGATAATTACTGTGGTCATTGCTTTTAACCTGGGAATGGATGAAAATAGCCTGAGAAATGATTATTTGTTTTGTTTTTTTTTTAAGTATTTTTAAAAAATCATTACAGTCAATTACAAAATAAATTATTCATTATAATTATTTTTAGACCATAATGTTGACATAAGCTTTCATAAATGTTTTTTGTTTTTTCTTTAAATTTCTCCTTACACGTAGATGACATTATCTGAGGGAAATTATTCTGTTGTATTTGCAGTGGTTTTTCTTCCCAAGTACTTTTTTAAAAAGTTTAATTTTTGTTCATAAAGGTTAAAAAAAATATCATCTCATATTTTTTTTCTCACATGTATGTGTACTGTCATCAAAAGCTTTTTGTGGGCATCTTTAATACTTCAATACAATCAATGGTTGTAAATTTCAATTTATTTTACCGTGTGGAGAACTGAAATGCATGAGCACATTAAGTTGTAAACACCCCCCCCCTTTTCCAAATACTTTTAAATTAAGCTCTCATTTTAACAAGACAGTATTAGATATTTGTCATAAAATCTAGTCTTGAAGCGTACACTTTGTTATTTTATAGAAGAATGTGACAGGGTTAAATAATTAAATTGAAGCATCTTTAATTATTTTTATAATATTATGTAGACAGCGCGCTTTATAAGTTCTCCAATGTCCTCCCTGCGAATTTTATATCATTGTGTCGCTTTCTAGCTTTCTCTCTCTCTCTCTCTTTTAAATTATTTGTTAAGGCTTAAGTATTGTACACTACATGACATAAATCTTATGCAGTGTGATTTACAGTCAATGAAATACACGTCTTTCTTCTTTCTTCTTTTTTCATTGTATACAGTTTTAAGTCTATGAGCATATGGCTTCTAATATTATGCGCCACTCCTTAAACATGTTATATGCGGTCAGTCAGTTAAAAAACAAAATAAAATAAATCAGAACTTGAATTAACTTTTTCCATTAATGCAAACTTTGTGCTTGTTGTTCTGGAACATACATGTATGTCAACCACGTGTAAAGTTCTACTTTCGTTTTAGAATCGGGTCAATTATTAGTACATTCTGCCATAGGGATATCGTTACAGCTTGCGTTTTTGTAAAATTAGAATTTTGTGCAGAGATTATAATTTTTTTTAATTCCATTTTTGTCCGAGACCTTTGTATAAACGAACAGTACAGACTTGGTGCTTATTCATATAATTTTACTTGATTGTAGCACAAAAAGGAGGGGGTGAAATAGTGATAGCCGATAGGGCAATGTCTGTTCTTTAATTGTGTGTTTTAAAAGTCATGCA